CGGATGCTCACCAGAAGTACCCAAGTAACCAATCACAAATATCAAGTAACTGAGGCCGGAACTCTAACCGGATGCTCTATAAAGGTGCCAATGTAGCTGTTGAAAGAGTCCCAATCGATCCATACTCATAAATGTCCGTGAAACGCCGTCCACACATAGCCAATCAATGAAAGTCCTTGGAACCAAATTCAAATCGCGAAGTAGAACTAGTGTTGCTGATGTAACTCGTGAAGCCGTAACATCGGGGAAAATAAGGATAACTATAATCAGAGGAAGAGTATCGCCTAGCTAAGGCCCAAACTATCAAACTCAAGTCTGCTACACCAGTTTACAGGGATCTAAGTCGACCGAGCGACGCCGGGGTAAAACTAAGGCCTATTGATTCCGAATCATACATTTCTAAGGCAAGTCCTAGTCAAACCTAAACTAAGGCCCAACATGCTTCAAATAAACAGTAAATTAAGCATGCAAGCACTCCACATAACGAGGAGGGTCAATTAGTAACACAAAGCATGCTCCCATTTACCCGATAATTCTCGAAATAGGCCAAAAACATAATTTCTGAACACCTATACATGATTCAATAACTACCAACCCAACTCCCAACTAATCAACATGCATTCACACTCTCAAGCTCAATCTAAGAGAGGGAAACCGTAGCCTACCTGTAGGTCGATCACACGCGCTCCAAAATCACTCCTTCGGAGCTTTCCCTTTCCGAACGGTCTCGAAATGCTGCCCCGCTATCAAAAATAGAGTCACAACGTTAATACGGTCGTTTAGACACCAAAATCACAACAAACGGAGACGGGTCAATTTTGGAGTCAAAACGGGGAAAGTGGGACCCGCGTAGGAAATTCCGAAACTAACCCCAAAAGTGGGTCCTAACCAGTTTTCCCAGCTCATGTCCCAAAATGGGACACAATTCGGGGCTCGGGAACAACACAATATCAACATGCAACAAAACCCAAATTTTCTCAAAAATCAGAAATGGGACAGCAGTGAATTTACCAAAAACAAGCGGTCTACAGAAAAATCTGACAACACCACAATGTTCTCTTCGAAAAACCACTCAAGATAGCCTCAAAAATCACCAAAATAGGATCTAAAATGACTAAGAAAATAAGTCTCAAAAATTTCCAAAAAAAAAGGCTCACAAAAACGGTGAGGCAGCAGGTATTTTTCGAAAATTACCTCAAACGGGGACTCCAAATCACTATCCGAGATCACCAACACGTTACCCTCGAAAAATCTCACAACTTTGCCTTTTGAATCGCCCAAATCGGTTGAGAGATGAGAAAGTTATGAGGGTTTGGAATTTGAGAAATGTTGCTGATTTTCTGCAATAAATTGCAGAAAATCTGCAACATTTCCAAAACTTAAAATTCCGATGGGGTGCTCCGATCTCGTTCGGAACCCCGTGCATGCAAACGAGATATGCAACCATACCAAATTCGACATTCCAGACTCAACGGCGCAGTCGAAATTTCCATCAAAGGTCATTTCGATAAAAAGTGGGTCCCACTTCCAAAAACCATTTTAAGTCAAAACCCACAAAAGGGCTCGGAAAGATATCGAAAACCTCCAGACACAAAGGAAGGGTCATCATACAAGTAAATCAAATAGATACATGAACAATAAGTTCTGAAAGGGAAGTTGTAAAGAAGCAGGGGGATGCGCAGAATATATGGATCATCATTGCTTATTGTGTTTGTCTTTGAAAGAATCGAGTTACAATGGAAAAGAATACAGAGAAACTGCACAAATATATGACTACTAGAACATGATTGATTATCCTTTTGATGTCTATACAAATCCTGACATCAGTGATCTGCCCCTAAAAGTTCTGTATATCAGGTCCATGCCAAAGTGAGAAGCACAAGGCACTAGTGCTGCAGCAGTCCCATAATGACCAAACTCAAAGCTGTTCTGTGCTCTTGGTGGTGCAAGTGAAGTGCAGCAAGCCTCACAGACAAACAATGGTGGCACAACCTCAGAATCTTCGATGCCACAACAGCGAGTATGTTGCCATATCTCACATATATCACATGAAACCATCCTTTCACCATCATCATCCCGAGCACCACACCTACAGTTCACTGTCCAGTTATCAGACCCTCCTTCATTTTTCAACTCACTGTCCAAATCCAACCCGAAACCCCTCACCCAAAGTTCTGAGCCAGACTGGACGATGCCAAAGAGCACTTCATAATCTTCTAGTTGCTCCATCCCTGCAATATCTGTTATCATCAAATTGTCTATAATGCAGTAAGTGCCCCTCATTGCAGACTCAACTGCTATCTTTAGATCACCAATTGTTGAGTGTAGCGGAACTTCAACCACCTCTCCTGGGGGATATCCCTTTGTAAATACAGCTTCCAAACCATTAGAACTTGGCAAAATGCAACAAATGAACCTCAACAAGCTGTCATCTGGATCATCACGAAATGGCCATTCCTTCAAAAATTGCTTGCTGTCTGATACTATCCTAACAGCCAGGCTTAACTCATCAGATTCCGCGAAGCTCAGAAGAAGATTATTATACAAGCATAAAACATCAGTGTACGCATCAGCTCCAGGATTAACAGCATAGTCCTGAAATGGCTCGGGGAGCTTTTCTTGTTCAGGCTGATCACAATTCCGAAGTTCCTGAATCGTGTACTCCAACACCCTCGTGGCTCGGTTCACTGCACGACGAACTACATAGCCTCCAATAATCACATTGTTCGTTGATTTCAGCACATAGTCAATCAATCCTGTATCGCCAATGTGGAGACGAGCAGCATCCCGCGCCTCTTGCCTACTCATCCCACAACTTCCAAATCTAGATTTAAAGAGTTGTCGAGAAAGGAAAGGTGTATTGTTTTAAACGTACTAAAAAGATAAGTAAGATAAATAAATTGAAACCGAGAGAGTATCTGTTGAAATTTTTTAGTGATCTTTTTATCTGTATTTTGTTGAAATTTTAGGGATTTTTTTTATTTACACTTCCTCTGTCCTAGTTTGTGTGGTTCCCTTTTGGTATGTTTATGGAAAAGGACGGATTGTTATAGTTAGAAATAATTTTACTTTAAATTTCTCCTTTTGGGACGAGAAGTGGGAAAATATACAGAAAAGACGGTTCTTTTAGTATTAGTTAGTGATTAGTTAATGATTTAGTGAGTCCTTTTTAGCCCGATGAACTCTTGGCACCGTCACATAAATATTTATGGCTTGTTTTGGATCATAAGTTTCAAATTTGTTTCTTAAAATTCTATGCCTAGTCAAAATGCCATGGATCATAAGTGCTTGTCAAAGATTTAGAAGGCAATGCCATGTGATATTTCGCATCATGTTATCTTTGTTTCTCTCGTGGTATTTCTGTTGCTATCCTTATCTGGTCATTCTCTGTCACCTAACCTCTAAATAAGGTGGTCCTGAACCAATTCAGAAACTTCATCCTTTCTTGTGGATGTAAATTTAAGAGTTTCTTCTTCTGTTTCAAATCATGAGAAGTAGTAGGGCCTAGCTAGTGTTGCTCTTCAACAAATTTATGGTGTTGAATACTTTGACAGTAACAGAGTAAGCAAAACCATGAGAAAGTTCATGTGCCATTGTCTCTCAGTCTCACCAGTGGCCACCAATTGCTCTTAACCACCAAACATTAAGATATGAAACTTGTCATAGACTTATATATATATAATCAGACCCAAACATTTCAGTAAAACACAAGTATCCTGGCATTCAAAAGACTTTTCATTTTTTGTGTAATACTCAAAGTTCTTGTTGTTTATACTTCATCATTTAGAAATACATATCTCTTGAGATAATGGGTATCAAAGTGACTCCATTTATTCAAGCTAATCGAATCCTAAGGAGATCTTCAACAGGTGTTCCAAAAGGGCATTGTGCAGTATATGTAGGAGAGAGCCAGAAGAAGAGGTTTGTCGTGCCAATATCATACCTGAGCCAGCCTTTATTTCAAGACTTTTTAGCTCAAGCTGAAGAAGAGTTTGGCTTTGATCATCCAATGGGTGGTCTCACAAAACCTTGCAAGGAAGACGTGTTCATTGATCTTACTTCCCGATTGAGAAAATTATGAGTAGTAACATGGCGCAAATTCTCTTGCCCATGAAATTTTGTAAAGCAATAGGATTAGAAATGAGAAAGACAGAAAGAATTCCTTGTTTTTCCTTAACCATTTTGTATAGAAGTAGTAAACAGGGTTTTTTGTTTGTTTGTAAAGTTGAGTTAAATTGATCAACCTCCTGTTAAATGGATATAGCCTTATTTTGCACAACTTGCTTTTGTTGAACCAAGGGTCTACCAGAAACGGACTCTCTATACCTGCAGAGGGTCTATCGGAAACCAACTTACAAACAATCATCTAGACACCTCTGAAATTTGTGTGGCACATCAACGTCATGTGTCCATGAGATACAGTGGGGACAAGTTGGAGTGTTTAGTTGTTAGTTGAGACCAAAGTCAATGTGTTTAGATGTGCATTCTCAAAGTTAAGAAACTTACTTGTCAATTAAGGTCAAGTTAGAATATCTATTTATGTATTATGCCTAATTTCAAAATTTATGATCTCGCTTAACCTCTAACTCGTTATAATTGTGTTTGGTCAAACTTTCAAAAAGTCTTACTTTTGAATAACAATTAATAATTGATGAATCAGCTTCTTGAACTTGAAAATTGTTATGATTTTTCTTATCGCCGCTCTAAAAAACCTATCTATTTAGAATAATTGGTTCATGTATTGGATTCATTGGTGATGACTAATATGTATGATATAAATACTTCAGTTTACATTAGTAATCCTCTTTTGGGCGAGTATTTCAACTTTAAATGGCCCAAACTAGAGAAAAGTGTTTGTCGTGTTGTTTATGGATTTTGCTTTAGTGATGTCTCTGGACAGTATAAATTAGTCTAATCAGTGACTAGAAAGTTTGGGGTTCGTTCTGAAATATCAGAATTGGAGGTTTATACTTTTGGAGTTTATGAGAAATGGAGAAATTCGCGTATTTGACGCAAGAAGAGTTGGGGATATCTCAACCCTCGTGTATGACACTAGTAGAATTGGGGAATTGTCTATGTTTGTCTATGGAGTAGCTGAATCTTGGACTAAGGATCGCATTTGTATTGATCAATATAGGGATTTTATCCATTTTTGTAGATATATACCAATCCTAACTTGGAAAGATGGAGAAATCTTGATACAACTAGAGTACATATTCCAAGTTTTTACTCGCTCAAGACTTTTATGGGGGGGCAATATTCAACTCTCAAATATCTATCCGAACAAAATCTAAGATAGTTTAGATATTTAGTTTGTCTTATTTCCTCCGGATTTATGTTTTGCTTCTATGTCTCTGGGGTAATTTGGTTGAAAACCTGACAACTTTTACTGTTTTGTGGATGCTTTTGAATTCTAGTAGAACAACAATTGTATATGTATACGTTGTCCGTTCCAATATTTCTAAGTTATTTGCATTGCAAAGTCTCCAAAACTACAAAAAATATTTATTTCATTATGCACTTGTCTGAATAGAGTAAACTACAAAAAGAACAAAATGTTGACCTATTAGTCAAGCATATTTACTTTGAAAAAATCCTCCCACGAATAAGGACTGAGTAGACTTTACCTTACCTATACCGCACTTGTTTACACCAAACGCCATATATTTTTTTTTTCAATTTTCATGACATTTAGGTTTCAATTTTCTTGCTACAAAGAAGAGGCTGAACAACAACATGAAGGAATTTTCTTGGTACTGATCATTGTTTTTTTTCCATCTCTACTCTGCATTGTTGAAGAAAATTTCATGTCCTGATTTTCATCCAAACTCTCAATTTCTCTTATTAACCTTTTCTTTATCTTCATAATTTATAATTAAAATGATTTTAAGTGTGTATTGATTTTTGAATAATTATACTGCTAATTAATTTTTGTGTCACTTTTTTCTTTATTTTTTTGTGTAATATGAATTAATCTCTGAAAATTACACTACTAATTAATTCTTGTGCCTTTTCATATTCTATTTTTTTCATTTATTCTTTTTTTTTTCCTCTCATGATTTACATTTAATTAACCTAAATGGTGTATTAAATTAAATAACGTTTTAAAGTACAATTAGTAGAAAAAAAGAAAGCAATTTATACTAATTTATATTAATTATTATGCTATGACACAATTGTTTTATCCTCTTTATTTTTGGGCAAAAATTTTCTTACCAAATTTATTTTTCTTTGCTTTACAATCTCCATTTTCCTTTATTATCCTTTTATTTATCTTATCATATTTATCTAATTACCATTCTTTACGTATTTTTGTTAATCATTATTCTCTTCTCAGTGAAAGCAATGATGAGGTGAATTCTCCGTTTCTTTCCTTTCAATGATAGAACTTTGAACATATTTTGTAATCATTGTATGATATTATTCTAAACATTCATTCTTTTTTCGTTTCTTATAAGATCTTTATTGAAATATTTTTGCTTTCAAATTATTTTGATTTGTAGATATGCCAGATTTGATTTGGAAAGCTAACAAAGTGGGCAAGGTACGTTTTTTGAGATGTTCAGGAATCAGTATATCATCCGGTTCTTATAGTCAAATTTAAGCATTGTTTAGATACTCACTTTCTTTATTTTGTAATAATGATCGAGACCTATGCATTTTATAATTAATTTAAGCATTTCTATAGTTAGGGGTGTTTGTGGTTCGGCTTGGATCGGTTATTGATTAAAACCAAAATCAAACCAATTTAGTCGGTTTTTTAAATTTCTAAAACCAAACGAAATAAGTAACCATCGGTTTGGTTATTGTCGGTTTTGGTTCGGTTTGGTTTAGTTTTTCTGGTTTATTCGGTTTGAAAGTAATATTTTTTTTGACGACGTACGTATCCCGTTAGACACAAACACAAGTATATGACCAATCCATTGAAAAGCTAATGTCGGTTCAATTAAGCAATACTAGAGTTATCATTATACGAACAAAGTGATTCAATTAAGAGAAAGTGTGACTATTTTTATTTCTTCATTTCATTTTCAGTTGTAATCTTGTATTTTTGTTATCTTGTAAGTTTTAATACTTGCTGAAGAAGCTGCTTTAGCTTATGACCAAGCTGCACTCTCAATGTGTGGTCCTTCAACATGTTTTAATTTTCAAGTGGAGATAGTTCAAGAATCGTATGAGGATTCGAGTATAATGGTCAATAGGGTTCAACATCGTCTCGAGCTAAAGAAGAAACAAGAAGAGAAATATTAAAGGTAAAAAAAAATAAAAATCTAATAATAAACTTTTCATTTATCATACACTTAAAAGTTTTATTGTTTCCTATTTATTATTTTTCACTAATATTTTTGGTAATTATTCATCCATTTATGGAAACCCTAATATTCTTTTTATGGTCATATTACATATCCGAATTTGAGTAGGTCTGCAAAACCTAATTTGAGTTGGATTTGCTTCTCTTCTCACCTCTACCTCTATATAAGAGGGGTTAAGAAATTCAATAATTTCAATTTCAATGGTTAATTTCAGAGAAAGGCGTCACCACTTCGCCACTAAAACAGCCTTCTTTTTTCGACCAGAATTAAGATGGTATAACGATAATAATAATAGTAATGGTGGTAATATTAGGAGTGATTTACCTAATATAGTCCTTCAGTATAACCTTTTTGCTCAACAAGACGCTTGGCGTAAATCACCCGTAAATCAACCTTCAAAACTCATATATTTGGATGAATTTCATGAATTTGAGACAAGATCATTTGAACTCAAACTATGCCCTTATCAATACACGTCACACGACGTGTTTTTCAGTATTCTTAAAGAACATCTCACCAATTGGGGTGACTATTATGAGGTTTCTGATGACTATCTCATTAAACGAATGATATTTTATATGGATAAAATTATTGGAGATGGATTGAAAAAGGGTCGTGGTACTAATTGTCAGATTTTTGTTGATATGACTTTGAAATTGGAATATGTTTTGGATGGGAGAGTTCCGTGGCGCTTGAGTGGAGGTATGGTACCTGCTACTAAGACATCAATAATGGAGTTGCCGGTGAGAATGGAGATTGATGATGATGTTCAATGTTTGAAGGATATTGACTGTGTCATATGTCTTGAACAACTTGTGTCCAAGAAGGAGGGTGGAAAGATCGTTTGCATGCCTTGCTCTCATATGTTTCATGGAAATTGTATTATAACCTGGTTGGACATGAACCATTATTGCCCTATTTGCCGCTATGACTTGCCAACACCATGAGAACTTGTTTTTAATACCGCTGATGTAATTGAATTGAATTCAACAAGTTTAGAATTTCAAGCTCGTGACTCATTGTTATTTATTTTACTAGTCTCTAGGCACGTGCGTTGCACGTGTGTCTTGTGTTAATTAGTACAAAAAAATTAAATGATATAGATGCTACTAAAATTTGCAAGTAATATTAACTAAATTTTGAAAGAGAACTACTCCCTCCGTCTCATTTTATGTGAGGTAGTTTGACTTGGCATGAAATTTAAGAATGAAAGGAAGACTTTTAAAATTTATGGTTCAAAATGAATGATAAAAATTTATGTGGCTATAAATCATTTCATTAAGGGTACGTAAAATAAACATTTTATAGTTAAATTGTTACTTAATATAGAAATGTATCATTCTTTTTTGGACAGAGTAAAGAGGAAAGTAAGTCACATAAATTGGGACAGAGAGAGCATAATTATTTGTAGTTATACACAAATTATTTGTAGTTATACACAATCAATTGAATTGGTATATGTGATATTTTTCTTATATAGTTCTAATATATCTTATACTTGGTACAACATTTCCCTTATTATTATTTTTAAAATATTTCAACAGCAAATAGTTTATATGTGACATAAGTAACGTTGATTATGTTTGCAAGTGTTTCACACATCTTAAAGTTTGTATCTTGTGTAAGAAACTGTAATCTCCTTTTTATAGACACATGCATATCAAGAAGTTGTTGCCGAATAAAAGTCGTATTTCATGTTGTACAAATACTGATCAACATATACATGTTTCTGTAAGGTGGATAATGTATCATTGTCAATTTCAAGGGATACACTTAAAATAGTGTTTATTTGTGATAGAGATAGTTAATAATTAATGTCATTAGAAAATTTATTCGATATATAAAAATCCAATAGCACGTACAATTTTCTTTGTTTGATTCAAGATTATGAGTCCTTTCATATGTAAATTTGACAGGTAAATATTAATTAAATTATTTAAATATAATCATATTACAGAATATAATATAATCGATCTATACTCACGAATAAGAAACTTGATATAAATGGTTGAAATATTTAAAATATCTTATTTAAAAATATTGGGTGTACATCTTCAAAAAAGTATCCACTCAACGAAATAATATTTTTTTATGAATCTAAAGT